GCCCGCGCGCCCGCGTCTCCCAAAACGGCGGCCCGGCGGCGGCCGCCGAGCGCTCGCGCGAGAGACTCACCTCAGCGGTGGGGGCTGGTCGTCCGCGGCCCACTGATGCGCCGACTCCGCCTCCTCGCGTTTGGCTGAGGGAAAGACGAGAAGCCAAATGGGATGAGATGCCCGCCCGCGCGCCCGCGTCTCCCAAAACGGCGGCCCGGCGGCGGCCGCCGAGCGCTCGCGCGAGAGACTCACCTCAGCGGTGGGGGCTGGTCGTCCGCGGCCCACTGATGCGCCGACTCCGCCTCCTCGCGTTTGGCTGAGTGAAAGACGAGAAGCCAAATGGAATGAGACCGAAGCCCTTTCGATTTGCCGTCCGGCGAAACGTCACCGGTCGCGGCCCGAGTCCGATTCGGAGGACCGAGAAAGCGCGAGCGCGATGGACGGCGCTCTTGGCGGCGAGCCAAAAGCGAGGCCGCGTCGGCGGCACATTTGCGAAGACTCGGCGAGCAAAATAGGCCGAGATGCGTTTGCCGCGGGAACGCGTGGGAGTCGGGCGGGGCCGACTTTGGACGCGGCCGTTCCATTTTCCGAGCTCCGGGTTCTCGCGGGAGAGAAACCGGCGAGCTTGCTCCTCCCGGGGAACGGCCAATGACTTGGCCGAGCCTCACCTGGCGCCGTGGCGTCCTGAAAAACACGCACGACAGGCGCGCGGACGGGTCAGGCGAGCCGAGAGAGGAGCGCGGCGGGCGCCGACGCCCGGCGGGGCAATCGAACCTCTGCGGCGGCCTCCTCCTCCTCTTCGCCCACGGCCGCGGGAAAGGCTGGGCCCGGACCTTCGCTCGCGCCCTTCCTGCCGCGACAGGAAGCCCGCGTTGGCTCTCTCGACTACTTGGAACCGCGATTCGAGTTGAACGCCACCTGCTCTCTGACGACAACGCCGCCTCCGCCTCCGCCGCCTCCTGTTTGGACTCGTCCCGGGTGCCCGCCTCAGACTCCTGAAAAAAATGTCCGAAGCCACACAGAGCAGAATTAGTCGTCGGGCACGCGCGCTCGTGCGCTCGCGCACATGGCGCCCGACCGTCAGAGGTTGCGGCTCAGCGCCGTCGGCTTCACGGGGTCGGTGGGTCTCGGGAGGGCGCGGAACCATTTGGAGCAGCCAGCTCAGCATCTTGAAGACTTTTTTTCCTGTGAAAAGGGCGAGGTGGACACGGTGACCTTCTCGCTCTCTTTTCTTTTGAAAGATGAGTGAGAGCAGAGGGGAGGGGGCGGAGCCGGTCAGCGGGACCGGCGGTCCCGCGCGTCCGAGTCCGGTCGCTCGCACCCTGCGGCTCACGGTCGGAACGGAGGCCTCCGTCGGGGCTCCGCAACAAACGCGAGCGTCGCCCTTTTTCGACACCTCCGGCCGCCACCCGTCACGTGACCGATGTGATCTTCTCGGGGGGGAGGAATAGGACGCCGACGATGGCGACGGCCTTTCGGTCACGCCGAAGCTCTTCCCAAATGGAAACGCAGCCCCCGTTTTGACGGGGGCGGCGCACGGCGCTCGCTTCAGCCGCTAAGCCGCTTACACGATGGATTTGGCGTCTTCATAAATAAGCCGCCCGAGCGAGCGCACGCCCGACTCGGGCTCAAGAAGAACTTTCAAGTGTGCCGTCGCTCTGAGAAGAGCGATCCCAACGTCGCCATGAAAAGCGGGCTTTCGGCTCCGGGCGGGCCGTCCGCGCCGGGCAGATCGGGCAAAGTTGGCGGCCGGGCGCCGCCGCAGAAGCGCCGCTCCCAAAGACTCTCGAGCGCGAAAAGCCGGCGGGCGGGCGCTTTGCCAGAGCGGGCCCGTTTTCCTCCGCCGAGGCCGCTCCTTTGTCCTTTGCGAGCGCCGTCCCAACAAAGGAGCCGCGCCGGAAAGACGGCTTCCGTTTCAAAGCGTCTTCCGTCGCGTCGGCCTGGCGAGTCCGCTTTTGCTGTTCCGTCGGCCACGGGCTTCCCGCAAACGCTCGCGTCGCGTTCGGCGGGGATGGGGAGAAGTCTCGTCTGGACGTTTCTCGTCCCACCCGCGACGACGGCGCTTCACTGCACGGATCAAGAAACCGGCGGAAGCCGACGATGAGGCGCCGTTTTGTTTGTTTTGACAAAGCCTTGCGCTCCACATTTGGAGCGCAAGGCTTTTGTTTGACTCCTCGTTATTTTGGGGAGAAAAATCCTCCGCACGACTCACAGCGCCGGCTGAAATGAACTTTTGAAAGCCTCGTCACACCGACGCCGCGCGGACGGCCAAAGTCGTTGCCGGGCGTCGAGACGAAGCGCGGTCGCCCTCACCCGATGGATGGAGCGGCCGTCCTACCGCGTGGCCTCCGGAGCCGGAACCGCAGCGTCCGCGCGCGTCGCCGACGTGAAGGGATGACGAGCGTGAGCGCCGGCCCGGATTTATGGAGGAAGCGTCTAAGCCGATTAGGGCCGGCACGTATTCAAATCATCACGTCTCAACTTTCCGCCGAGTCGGCTCCTTTCTGTCACGTTGCCAGGTGGCGGCGGACCCCCAAAAAGCAGGCGAGGGAGAGGGGCGGGGTGGACTTGACAAATTGGCTTCAGTCCCAAACGGGCGAAACCCCGGCAGGGCGCGAGCTCCAAACTAAGAGGAACGGGAGCGCGACGGCGGCAAGGAGCGCTCGCACCCCGCGGGAGTCCTTTGAAAGCGTCGCGTTGCATCGCGAGCGACGGGCGTGCGGCTGCAGGGGGAGCCCGACGGCGCCACCCGCCGCTCGCAAACAGAATGGCCACGCTTTGCGCTCGGGGTCGTGCCGCCGACTCGTCGGCTTGGGTTCCCGGCCGCCTCTTTCCGCGCGGGCCCGACGAGGCTCGCGTCTCTGCCGCGCGGGCCGCTCGGGGATTTCTGGGAACAAACCCCCCAAATGACGTGCTCGGCAACAGCGATGAGAGACGGCGCGCGAACAGGCAGGGCGGGACGTCACAAAGTCCAGGTCGCGTCCGCTTGGCAACGCCTGTAGTGACGCGGGGGGGCGGCTGAGGCCCGACTCGCGGGTGGGCGTGACTGCGGCGGCGGCCTTAAAAGAGCGCCGCGCGCACACGAACCTCAGCTCTCCTCGCCTCGAGCGTGTGCGCGCGTGAAGGTAAGAAGCCACCTTGGACAAACAGAGACGGGAAGAAATCCTTTTCAACGGGAGCGCAAGCGTCGTCTTCAGATGTGTCGGACGCGGGTTCTGAAATGCCCGCTTTCTTTTTTTTTGTTGTTGTTGTCACTCCACGTACGCGTCATCGCAGGCCCCGATGGGCGGCCGAGATTTCTCGGGCTATTCTGGGCCCGGTCGGCCTCGTTGACGGCCGCGTGCTCGTCGCTCACCCCGACCGACCCTCTTCCGGAGCGCACCCGGAAGAGCGCGACCAATCGCCCCGACCCTCAACGCGCTCGTCTCATCTTTCTTCCTCCGCGAGGCGTTTGGGGCCTTTGGGGCGATCCGCGCAAAGCGTGTCACCAAACGCGTCGTTTCGAGCGTTCGCGTCCCGCTCGAAACGACGCGTTTGAAGACACCCGCGTCGCTACTCGGAGGGTTAGGACGCGCCTCGGTCCAACTTGTTCAAATGATTTTTTTTCAAATGGATTTTTCTTTTGGGTCCGGCTCCGTTTCCTGCGTTTGTTCTTTAAACGTCTGCGGATGAAGTCCGATTTTCATTTGACAAAAGCTTTGCTCAGGGTCGAGTTCTTCCCCCGACGACCGTGACCCGTTTTCATTTCGCTCTGACGACTTTGGGTGACGAGGTGGAAGATTTGATCTTCTTCTTCTTCTGCTGGCGGTGAACTTTGAACTTGCGCACGATTCAAAGCAGGAAACGCCGCTCCAAAGTCAACGTGCGCGTCCATTCGCAGCGGCGGCGGCGGCGCTTTTATTGCGTCTTATCAGCTCTCGCGGCCCCGCCCGCCCGGCGCCAGAAAGCAAAGCCGCGCCCGAGAGCAGAGTGCAAACACATCGATGCCTCCACGCAGAGGATTTATTGTCGTGGTCACGTTGGACCTCGATGGGGTGGGGGTGGGGGCGGGAGTGCCAATTTTTCCAGTCGATCGACCGCGTGTTGCGACGAGCCCGCCCGCCTCAAAATGGAAAATGAGTCTCACTCGTACTCAAGTCAGCTTTCGCTGGTCTCAAACAAGCGAAGCGTTCCAACTTTTGAAGAGCGGACCGGCACCTCGTTCCAAACGGCCGCCGGCGCGCCTCGCGCCCCGCCCGCTCAGCGCGGTCGCGGGGCCCGGCGTTCGGCGGCTCTCTCTTCTTCTCAGACGTGCGCCTCGGAGGCGAGAGGCCCTCGCGAGCCGCGTCCGCCGCGTCGACGGCTTGACCGTTCGGCGGCTTTCTTTTCCAAAACGCACGGAGGGGAGGGGCCGCGGGCCGAGCCCCTTTGACGACAAACGCTCGCCGACCGGGCCTTGGGAATTCGGGGCCCGGTTCCCGAGGCCCTCGGCATCGAAAGTCCGCTCCCCCCGCGCAGGTCTGAGGTCGTCCCGATCGAGATGGCGCTGGTGTCCGAGTTCCTGGGTCAGCTGACGTTGTCGTACGGCGCGGTGAGTGTCACGAGGAAGGGGGCGGCGAGTCCTCCTTCGCCGGGCCGATCGCACAAACGCTGCCGCCTCGTGTCCTCCGCAGGAGGCGGAGCCCGTCTTTCCCACCGTGGTCGCCTTCCGAGACTTCGACCCGATCGGCGACGCCGCGCGACTGGACGCCGCCCTCAGGAGCAAAGGTTACGACGAGCGTCGAACACTCGCGTTGTCATCGCCGCGCGTGCGGAAAGCCGCGAGCGGGGAGGTGAGAGTCCCCCCCCAAAAAGGAGCGATCGAGGTCGTGCGATGCCCCCACACCCCCGGCACGTGGGCGAGGGGAGCCGCCGTTCCCGTCGACTCTCCGTTTCCGGCGCTTCACCGAGCTCCCGAGCGAGCGGAGAAAAGGAAGCCCGCACCTCCGCGGTCGACCGGCGCGTCTCGGCGACGTCTCGGAAATTCCGCCGTTTGCCTTTTCAGGAGTAGACGAGCAAAGCATCATCGACGTTCTGACGCGAAGGTCGTACGAGCAGCGGCGGGAGATCGCCTTCGAGTACGAGCGCCTCGCCAAGAAGGTGCGCGCGCTCACGGGACGGGGGCGGGACGGGACGCGGCCTCGCGTGACGCCGTGGCGTGCGTTTCAGGAGCTGCAGACGGCCCTGAAGGGGGCGCTGTCGGGATCCCTGGAGGCCCTGATGCTGGGCTTGATGAAGAGCCCCGCCCAGTACGACGCCCTGGAGCTCAAAGCGGCCATGAAGGCACGTCCTCGAGCCAAAGCGGGACCGCGGCGATTGTGACCATGACGGCGGTCGGCGTCAATGACCGCGGCTTGTTTTGTTTCCCGCTCAGGGCCTGGGAACCGACGAGGAGACGCTCATCGAGATCGTCTGCTCCCGAAGCGACCGAGAACTGGCCGACATCCAAAAAGTCTACCGGGAAGGTGAGCGGCTCCGTCGGGGCTTTTCCCGCTCGGGCGTCCCGACGGGGCAAAGCGGCGCGCGCGTTCGCCAAACCGGAAGCCGGCGTCGCCAAAGGCCGAAACAAACGGTCGGTCGGCGTCGACGCTCGTCCGTCCGCACGTGCACGAGCGTCGGCGGGCGACCGACCGTTTCTTTCGGTCTTTGGCGACGCGAGTACCGGCACTCCGGACCGAAGCGGAAGACGCGCGGCCGCCCATCCCTCGGCGCCTTTGCCCTCAGTGTTTAAGAAGGAGCTGGAGAAAGACGTCGCGGGAGACACGTCGGGGGATTTCGCCAAGCTGCTCCTCGCCCTCATTCAGGTGGGCCCCCGACTGCGCGCCGCCGAACGCGAGCCGCCGCCCGTGCCGCCAAACTCCCCTCGGGTCGCCCTCAGACCACGCGAGACCCGCCTTCCAACGTCGTCGACTACGAGAAGATCGACGACGACGCCAAGGTTCGCTCCACCCGTCCATCCGCCGATGCGTCCGTCGCTCATGCCCCCCCC